GTGATTTCATTCAAAGCAGTGTTTAAAATCGGATTGAACCGGACGGTTAGACTGATTCAATCGTTGATCAGTCTGAATTCCAGTTCAATTAATATATGAAAATCACTTGAAAGGTTGAACTAGGTTGGGCCGTTTTGGACTGACGGTTGGATTGTGAATCAAAAATCAAATCGAGAACTGGATCTAGTTTTCAATAATCGGGCTGTTAAAAAAACTTTTTTATTAATTTTTTTAAATGACTAATTTTTTAATCATTTGATATTATATTATATCATGTGGCTTGTTAAGCCATGATAAACTTAAAATATTTAATTTTTTTAAGTTAAGTGACAATTTTATATTTATTTCTTATATTTATATTATTATATACATATATAATTTTTTAATTTAATTATTACATTACTAGATTGACTATTAATTCAACTCAATTAAATTACATGAATTGTGAATTGCTAACCTTTTTAGTTTAATATCCATTTGGATTTTAAAAACATTGATTCAAAGCAAAAGCGTATTTGCAAATCACACGCAGCTTGCACATTCCTTGCTTCAGCGTTTGGATAGTCGTGTGGCCAACGCAAGCTTTGTACGCCAAATTTGCTTCATTTAATTATTTTTTATGGATAGCAAAAACACAGGGCTTGAATTATTTAACTACAGGATTATTGAAATCTCTTGATAAATTTATAAGTCATTCTCAACATATTTTATCAGTATTAATTTATTTAAAATTTAATAAATTTTTAATATTGTTCCTACTAAATTTACATACTTTAATGATATATTTTTTTATTCCCCATTCAACAAAGAGTAAAAAAAATATAATAAAAATTTATTAATGTAATTTATAAATAAAACAAAATTTTTTCTCTTTCTACCATATACATAAGACTAGAAAGAGTATTTTATTTTTATTCACATACACATGCGTTTTAAAGAATTATTGGAAGTTTGAATATGTTCACAATTGGACTTCATTTCTCAACCTGTGTATATTCATGTTCTTATTTATTAGTCCCATTAAAAAAAAAGTTCATGTTTATAGTCATTTTACAAAATATACAAAGCTATTAATATATTTTTTGTATGAACGTTGTTAGAATTCTAGTAAAAAAAAGAGAATATGATGATTAAGATTTCCATTTACTTATAACTATACATGAAAATATGAGATAATTTTAAAACAATCAATTAACCTTAACGAACAATTATTTCTTGGGCTGGATTGAGCCATCGAGATGGATTGTTGGCTCAAACAATTCCCATACTAGTTAGCCTGCCTCAACCCTTTTTTAAAGTGATTTCATGTGTGTGTGTTATTTATACTCCCTTCATTAAAAAGAAATATTAGATATTAAAAAATATAAAATATTTTTCATATTTCAATACATAATTAATGTATTTTTCACATTTTTTTATAATAAATAGAATATTTTATATTATTTTAATGTTAAACAATATATTAAAAAATAATATACAAAAATAATATTAATTTAAAAACGATAACTATTTTATTAGGAACGAAATTTAATTAAAAATTTTTACAATTTTAAACAGTGGTCATTTGTTAAGAGTAAATACCCTAATGACCATTCTATTTTGCCTTAATTGCACAAACCTTTGCTCTATTTTAAAAATAGACAATTAAATCCAACCTATTAATTCGACTAGGGATATCTAAGAAGATTATTAAATTATTTTTAAATTAAAATATTAAAACAAATTTTGTTCACCAATTTACTTCTCACCCTAATAAATTCTAAAATTATATTATTTTGATAGTTATATAATTTTATCGTTAAAAACATCTTTACAAATTTTAAATCTTAATTTAAATTATTTATATAATCTCTCGTACTTATATCTTTTCTCTTATATGATGAAAAAAATATGTTGAAATAAGCTTTTAGAAATTTTAAAAATCATAAAAAATAAGTTACAATCAATTTCATAAAAATTAAAATTTTATACTAGGTTAAAAATTAATAAATTTTATAATGTAATAAAAATTTCAAAATGTATTTATTATAAAGTCTATTTTCAATCATTTAATTCTATTATCATTATTTTCATCATAAAAAATTATATTAAAATTTTAAATATTAACAAAATATTATCAAATGTTAACTTATTAAGTTAATTTTTTAAAAAATAACAATAATTGACATAAAAAATAATTATTTCAAATAGTGGAATTAGAAATAAAGAACTAAGAATATAATTTATAAAATTATGAAATCAGATTGAAATTTTATATAAAGTTAAAGAATTAAAATTATATTTTAATATTTTAAAAAATTTATATTTTTAGATAATTTTTATGTTAAAGAGGGATATTTGGTCAGATTAAAAGTCTAAAAATTAAAGTTTAACCATCAATTAATAGTTAGATTGATAAAAATAAAATATTGAATATCCCAAGATAGTTTATGCAACATATATTTTAATTTAAAAAATTTCATATGAATTTTTAAAATAAAAAGGTTTATTAATTAAATCATAATAAAAAGTGATAAGTATATTTTACTCTTTTGTCAATACGTATTAAAATATTATTGGCCAAAAGGTAAAAAATATTAAAATGCCTTGCGGGCGCCCAAGGGTACATTCCTCGTTGTTTTGTCTTTTTGAACCCATAAAAAGAAAAAGTCAATTCCTCCATAAAAAAATATAAAATATTTATTAAAAAATTAAATATTAATCATTATTTTTTTCAAAAAATATTCTTATTAATAATAAATTTATATTTATTATAGAGCATTTATTAGAAATAAATATAAAAAATATGATTAATTTAAAAATAAATAATTATTTTATTGAGAGATGAAATTCAATTAAAAATATTTTATATTTTTAATGAAAAATATCTTCTAAAAAAACATGCCAAAAACAATAATACCGACATTCTGGAAAAAGAGAAGGATGTCTTTTACAAAAATAATAATATAATAATGCTTTCTCCGTTTCATTATATATTTTTAATTTCTTTAGGGAAAAATTTGTTTCATGTCACGTGTTTTTTTCAGAATTTGAAAGTAATATTTAAAAATATTTTTCCTACTTCACCTTGAAGTAATTTGTTGTTCTCTCTAGTCCAGTAGAATATTTCTAACTCTTGACAGGGACTGAGAAAAATAGTCAAGAGTGGTTTATATTGTTAAAATGAAAAAAATGTGAATACTTTTCAATATTATTGTTTATTTAAGATCAACACTACATTATTTATCGTCCAGATATTTTTTTTATTTAAAGTAATTTTGTTAGAAATATAGATGGATATATTAATTACGAATATCTCTTCAGTGATAGAATTTAGATCTTAATTCATGAAAAATTAACTCCTCCTGCCAAACTTGATATGAATAAGTGAGGGACAAAGTGTGTGTTTGGATTTACATTTAAAATCAATTAATTATACAAAAATTACGTTTTGGTAAAAGTTTTCTAAAGGCTTATATTACATGTTAAAATTAATTATGAATTTTAAACTATACTTTTTTAAAAATATTCAAACACCCATTATACATGTTAAAATTAATTATGAATCTAAAATTATGATTTTCTAAAAAATATCTAAACATTTTTTATTATATCAAAATCAATTATGAACAAAAAAAATATAATTTGTAGAATAACTTATATAATTTTTGGATAAATTTTTAGAAATGTATGATTGAAAAATTGAATTAAAAAATAGGTAGTAGTTTATGAGATAATCATAATTTTAGATTCTTAATTAATTTTACATGTATAAAAATGTTTAGATATTTTTAAGAAAATTATAATTTTGAGTTTATAATAAATTTTAGTTTGTATAATAGGTGTTTGAATATTTTTTTTTAAAAACATGATTTTAAATTCATGATTAATTTTAATGCGTAATATGAATGTTTGAATCTATTTTTATAAAATCATAATTTTACCTTATTTTTAATTCTATTTTTAATTTTAATTTTTAATTTTAATTAAAATTAATCTTATTAATCAATTATATACCACATAATATAAATAATTATATTCGAAATCAATTATATAAATTATTTTTTATAATTAATTGCATTCAAATGAAATCCAAAAAGAAACTAACGACATTTTAATACCAACTATTGTTGAAGGCCGTAGATGATCCTATCATGAACAGAAGATACTGAAATCTCGAAACGCTGCATGATAACTGTCACTGATATCTCGTCACAGACCCCACGGGATCTTTCTTAATGGTGCTTTTTAAAAAAAAATAAAAATAAAAATGGTGCTTTTGAATCGGAGGGGATAAAAAGGCACGTGAATACATATTTATCTAATACATTAAAAATATAAAAATCCTATAGTTTTTGGATAAAAAACAAATGCATCTTCTATCAAGAATCAATAATTTTAACTGAAGCTAGATACAAACTTTTAATTTATACATAAATAAAATGTAATTCTCTGTACCATTGACATAATGGTCACTTATATGTGGTTATATATTCCGATTTTATTTATGAAATATCTTTTAAAAAAAATTTTTAATTTAAAATACAAGACACATTATAATATTTTTTTAGCCTCATCCATTAGTATATGTAATTGTTTTTTGTATCAATAAAACTGGCTTTTTTTCTGATAAAAAATTGCTTTTTTTCAATTTTATCATTTTATAATTAGTATGAAGATATTTAATATAAATATATCATTATTTAAAGTTAAGGGTAAATATAAAAGTATATTTCATTTTTTATATATAAAAAATTAATTTTTTTAAACATGTATGAAACTGTTTAATGTAGGATGAAGTAAATCAACTTATTGGAGGAACAAATTCAGTTCACCACTATTCAGTTTGCTCTCCAAAAATATGCACCGCGTAATCTATATAATTATAATTTTTATGCGAAGAAAATCATCAAATATGATCACACAATTGAGTAATTACACTATGCCACGTATGCAACGATGTCGCTGAAGGGCCATATTTACCAACGTCGTGCGCTTATGTGATTCCATAGTTCAGTGAACTCAGAGTTAAGCAGAGTTTTCGAAGGTCCTTACACGAAGCACTGAGCTCTCGCTGATTTTCACATTCGTTGTTCGTTCTCATTATCTCAGAGGCTTCGCTCGTATCCTCGCTCCTCTTGAGCTCCACCTAAAGGTAGTTTCGATCGCTTGAAGTTTCTTTTTTTGTTCGAACAAATCCGCGACCCGGTTGATTGCTTTTCACTGTATTTTTGCTGGATATTGCTGATTCGTTCACCTCGGATATTCACTGGTTTTTCTTCAAACGGTGGATGGATTCTGAAAATGAATTCAAATGTTGTACTCAGTTTTCGCATGGTCGTCCGTTTGAGTGTCCAAGAAGATAAACTGTGTTCAATTTCCCCCTTGAAGTTTAGAATGGTGTAACACTTTTTTAAAATTTTTATTATGTCTCAAATACGGAACATGCTACTAGGAAATGAGCGGATTAAGTTTGAGGTTGACGATCGCGAACTCGAAGAAGTTACGGCTAACAATTAATTGGTAGTCCTGGTCCGGGAACTCGCAATTCCGTTTCGCGTCCCAAATTTGAAAAGCATTGTGTTGGATGTCAAACTCTATATATTAAGTAAGTATGGCTGACGTAATTTACTTTATCAGTTTAATCATTTTGTTAGAGACACTAAGTCTTATATATTTTTAATCTATTTTCGTCTTCGTGCTTTAATTTCTTTTATCTCAAATATTGCTTTACGTGCCACCATTTTCTTCTTCTTGTTTTTTTAGATTTTTCTATAAGTTTCTACATGCTGATGGCTTGGATTTCTTGAAAATAGAAGTGGATTCACCAATATGAGTAATCTCGTCACGCAAGGCATCTTCCACCAGAATTTGATACGTCCAACGGTTGCTAAATATGAAAGTAAAGTTAATTCTTCCTTCATATCTGCAAACACTTTATACCAAGAAGTAAGTGAGAACAAAGCTCTAGCACAAGCACCGAATTTTCTACTTGCTAAAAAGTTTTGTGGGAGCAATTTATGTGTAAGAAAACGAAAAGTAGCCATGGGAAGGCACCCACAAGCTGCAGTTGTTCCACACGCTGTGACTTCCACCCCAGGTCAAGCTTCTGAGGTGAGCTTCAAATGCCGAAATATTATGAATATTGTTTAATTAAAATCTTCATGCCGCTTAGAAAGTTCTGTTAGCATTTATCACAAGAAAGAAAGAAAATTCTATTAGTATACTGTATGTAGCGATGAAGCTTAGTGGAATTGACCATAAGTGTTCCGAGTCTCATCTTTCATGAATGTTTGACCTATTCACTTGAGCTTGAATTTTCTGTTAACAACTTTTGTCCCTGAAGCAGATTTCAGGAACATTCCTTCTTGACGGGAATATTGAATTGCAGGTATACAGCAGACCTAAAATATTAAATGTTTTAAGTCATTTATATGGTATAGTAGATCTACGAATTAGTGGGCGCTGTGTTGTTGTTGTGCCAGGTTGGTGTTACGTCTTCAGCACCAGGGCCCACAGAGATAGATATACGAGTTTCTAGCATTAGTGACTCTTTGCTTTTGCACTGGGGAGTTATTCGTGATCAACAAGGGTATATTCATCATGAACTGTTTTCAATGATTGATATATAACCGAAGATTTTCAAGTGTTTGAATTAATTATTAACGTTTGTTTTTCGTTTCTAGGAAGTGGGTAATTCCTTCTCGACGCCCATATGGAACAGAAGTATATAAAAATAGGGCTCTTAGGACTCCATTTGTGAAAGTAAGTTTCCAATGATAACTAAAAATGAAGAAAATCCCGAGAAAATTGACGTACTCACTATATTTTTATAAAATTATTTTATTAGAGGGGCTCTGGATCCATCCTTAAAATAGAAATAGATGATCCTGCGGCACAAGCTATTGAGTTCCTTATACTTGATGAAGCTCGGAAGAGGTGGTGAGTGTTTGTACATGTTGTTGTTGTATATTGAGTTTCCTGTACTCAATAAGGCTCAGAATAGGTGGCGAGTCTTTGTAGTTGTTGTTTCTTTTCATTAAATTCACAGTTATATCATCAAACTTCTATCTATAGGTTTAAAAACAATGGTCGGAACTTTCACATTAAGTTACCATTGAAAGTTCAGTCAGATAAAAAAATTTCAGTTCCCGAAGACCTTGTACAGATACAAGCTTATCTTAGGTGGGAAGAAAGGGTAAGCAGATATACACTCCAGAGCAAGAAAAGGTTAGTGGTTAAGTCATGTTGATTTATAGCAGTTTAGTCTTTATCATTATTCTTTTTTAATTTAATTCCTACTCTTAACTTTCTATATTATTATATTATCCGGTTTTGTCTTTGGAGATTATGAAAGCTGATATTTTGAGTTATATTGAGTTCAAAACTTACACATGCAAAAACCAGGGGGTTTCATTATATTCAATCTCCTATTAATGCTTGGCTTATGTATGCTTATGTGTTCTTAAGCTTGACGAGGATACCGCTTTTGGTTCTATTTGTTTTACCACACCCTGGTTTCTGTGTTTATTATAACTTCCATTCTAAGGAGCATAGACACTGATACAATACATGCGTCACTCTCTAAGAAGCGTAGACATGGATTTAGAACTTTGGAAGTTAAAGAAAAAGCTTCTTTATCATACTTTGTTCTTTTAATGATATGAAGATGCTACATGTTCACATTATCCTGAGAAATTCGATCATAAAAATTATGACAATGCCTTGTTCCCGTCTCGTGTACAATTGCAACCTGAATGGCACATATGTAGATGCTCTAAGGTGATCCACAAAATAGTTTTCATCAAAATTCTGTTTCTGTTCTCAAAATGAGGTTGCTTTGATGCTTTGGGATAGGCCATTTGACCTTGAAGGATTTGCCTTAGACCATTTTTAAGCTATTCATTTCAGAGGCTTTGACAAAAGGAAAGTATTTCAAATCCTTAGGCAGTCTTCAATGTGCTGTTTCTGTGGTCCTCTGGTGATTATTTTTGAATTTTTTATCTTCCCGCATTGATCGTTTACTTGCACAAATTCCCATCTTATCTGTCCCTTCCTGAAATCCAAAGAAAGTTGTTGTCTTTTTTTAGTTTGCTGTTGGCTTTGTATGTTTTGCTGCATGACATGGGATTTTTACAAATGTCTACTTACATGTAATGCATAAATGATTAATCATTTAATCCCTCTTTTTTGGTAGGAGGAATATGAAGCAGCTAGAAGAGAACTATTGGGGGAACTGACTAGGGGTACTTCGATAGAAGACCTTTATGCGAGGTTAAAAGACAAAACTACTGCCACTGAAATCAACGAGCCTTCTGTTCCTGAAACAAAGATAATTCCTGATGAACTTGTACAAGTACAAGCCTATATACGGTGGGAAAAAGCTGGGAAGCCTAACTACTCTCCAGATCAACAACTTGTAATTTTACAACAGACATACATTCTGTTTTGTGTTTTCTTTTGAATATTGCTTACTTAGTTGTCAATAATATATTGCTTATTTAACCCTTTTACTTATCTCATCATACCTTTGTGCTGTGATTGCTCATTGACTCCTGTGATATTTACAACAGAGGGAATTTGAGGAAGCAAGAAATGAATTGCTAGCTGAGCTTGAGAAAGGCACTTCTATAGATGAGATAAAGAAGAAGATTTTCAGAGGAGAGATACAGACAAAGGTTGCCAAGCAATTGAAAACCAAAAAATATTTTCGTGCTGAAAGAATCCAACGGAAAGAGAGAGATTTGATGCAACTTATCAACAGACATGTTGCTGAAAACATTGTTGAACAAGATATAGCAGTGCCAAAGGCCTTGACAGTGATTGAGAAATATTCCAAGGCAAGAGAGGAATGGAATAGAGGTCTTCTTTTGAATAAGGAAATCTACAAGCTCGGTGATCATGATCTTTTGGTGGGGAAATATCTTATTTATTTTTTTTTTTCCTAATCTGTTTCTGCTGGTATTTATTTCTCTGGTATACATTTGAATATGATTGTGTTTCATATCTTTAAGGTCCTTGTTACTAAAGATTCTGGCAAGATAAAGGTCCACCTGGCTACAGATTTTAAGTCGCCTGTTACTCTTCACTGGGCCTTATCTAGAACAACACCAGGAGAGTGGTTGGTAAGTGTGTTGGTTTAAGGAAAAATTGCATCAAAATCGCTTCGATTTTGTCATTTCCATCACATGGGATGGCTAACTTTTGGATATTTTTGACTCCAAGCATGAACCTTTTCACTAAGAAATCAAAATATTTAAGCTTGAGAATGTTTGTAAAGAAAAATTTACAGACAAAAACGGTGAGAATGTTTATTGAATGTTCACTATCATTAAATGTGGGGTGGTTTTGAATGATGAGATTTCCTATATCATCTTTATGATATTGGCCTTTCAAAATGATGAGCAAGCGGAGTGGGTTAAAATAAAAAATTCATGATAAAATGAACCCAAGCCATATGATGTGGAGTGGTTTGAAATTTTGGGATGTGGGATGGGTTCTTCTGCCCTACTCAATATCTCTCCAAACCATTCACTCCATCAAGCCATAAACTTGAGGGGGAGGGGGATTCTGTGAATACTTATATTTTGTTTATAGTTAATACTGAAGCTGACGTCCTTTGGATGTTGAAATTCATGTCATTGGTTTATCTGCTTTTTCCAATTTCTCCAGTATCTTAGTGACACATATACAATGAGCAGGTACCCAATCAAAGTGTTCTGCCCCCTGGTTCAGTTTCTGTAAATGGGGCTGCTGAGACACAATTTAAAAGTAGTTCTTCATCTGATCCTTTTCATGAGGTATCATACAAAATATATCTGAAGTTGTATTTTTTATTATTTGAGGTCATTTACATCAGAATTAATCAATAAAATTTCCAGGTCCAATTCTTAGATATAGAGATTGAAGATGATACTTTTAAAGGAATTCCTTTTGTCCTTCTGTCGTGCGGAAAATGGATAAAGAATAATGGGTCAAACTTCTATATTGCATTTGATAGCAGAACGATGCAAATACAGAAGGTTACAATCCTTGTTAAACAGTCTACTTTATTTATTTCACCTTGTTGTATTTAATCACAAGATTTTTCCCTTTTTGAAAGGATAATGTTGATGGCAAAGGTACTGCCAAGTTTTTGCTGGATAAAATAGCAGAAATGGAAGATGAGGCACAAAGGTCCTTCATGCATCGGTCAGCAATCTCCTAAAAGCTTCTGACTTTTTACATTACATTAATTTCACCTGTCCTCTAATGTGATTATAACCTTATCTTCTATGTATAAGGTTTTTTTCTATAGGATCTTGAGGAAATTGATTTCCCTGTCCGTCTTAGTAAAGCATTTGGTTTGGCTTAAAGACCGGTCTACATTAGGTGTTCCTAGGCAAGGTGCTCAGCCTAGCATCCAATTTGGTTTAGGATCAGGCTTCGAAATTGAAGCTTGGTGCCCAGGCTGGGCCTATGCTGGTATAGTAGCAGGCCAGGCTATTCAAGCTCTTTTTCTATGAAAAATTTTTGGTGGAAATTATGAAATGGACTCCTAGAAAAAAAGAATTTTCAGATAAGTCTATGTATTTTGCAGGGCCCAGCCCCTTGAGAAGAGAAAAAGGGGCATTCATCTTTCACAGGACTTGGTTCATCTGCCTTTGTTTTTGTGTTGCATTTAACATACCTTTTTTTGGCTTTCCTTTATTACCATCCTGGATCTGATGTGTTGGACAAAGCATCCAATGCACGAGGAATTTTTAGTGCTTGTTATTTGCCTCTAACCAATCTGTCATGTGGAAGCTGAAAATTAACTCTTCTCGCCATTAATGTTGGAAATGCTTGCCAACATGGTTCTTTTGGTAACTGTTTGGTGGGATCTGATTAAACCACCCAAACTTTTTTGCAGATTTAACATTGCAGCGGATCTTATAGATCAAGCAAAGGATGCTGGCCTATTGGGCCTTGCAGGTATCTTGGTGTGGATGAGGTTCATGGCAACAAGGCAGCTCATATGGAACAAAAATTACAATGTGAAGCCACGGTAAATTTGTAGTAAAAGATTTTTACTGATAAACAAATGGATTTTCCCCATATATAATTTCAATTGTGAATTGTACATAATTTAAATCTTCTACTTTGAATTTGGATTTTTATCATTATCTCTAGGAACAAGCTAATGAAGCTCTTCATTTGCTATATGTTCTTTGTCAATGTCTTTCTGTCCACACCTGGCCATCTTCTGATCTTAAGTTTTGATTTTATGCAACAATTGGAACAGTGAGATCAGTAGAGCTCAGGATAGGCTTACAGATTTACTTCAGAAAGTGTATACAAGTTATCCACAGTATAGAGAACTTGTAAGAATGATCTTGTCCACAGTTGGCCGTGGAGGTGAAGGTGATGTAGGACAGCGGATTCGGGATGAGATTCTTGTTATCCAGGTGCTTTAATTTTGTATTTAATTTTCCTTGATGTTTGAGTGTTTTCTTTTAATCATATGGAAACACGTTATATGATTTGCAGGGAAATAATGATTGCAAAGGTGGAATGATGGAGGAATGGCACCAGAAGTTGCACAATAATACTAGTCCTGATGATGTTGTAATCTGTCAGGTAATACAGGTTTTAACCTTTAATGATGGATTTCCACATGGTTTTCCTCATTAGCCTCTCATATGACTTTCTGGTAAGTTTTCCAGGCACTGATTGATTATATAAATAGTGACTTTGACATTGGTGTTTACTGGAAAACATTGAATGCTAATGGAATAACGAAAGATCGTCTTTTGAGCTATGACCGTGCAATCCATTCTGAGCCAAAATTCCGAAGAGACCAGAAGGAAGGCCTTTTGCGTGATCTGGGAAACTACTTGAGGACTTTGAAGGTTAAACTGATATATCTAAGTAATTATGTGTTCTATTTATCTTTTCTCTATAGGTAAAATGCACTACTTGGGACAGCACTTGACTTCTATTTCATAATTTTTTTCTTGCATGCCTGCCATGCTGCTAATTATGTGCCCATATATTAATATTAGGGAGATATGGTCAAAAAGATAAAATGTTGCAGAATATGGCTTCATGTATGTCTGGTCGCAAAAGAAAACCAACATTTTGGAGCGCACTTGGTTTCAAATGAGAATTCTTTTAATCAATTAAAAGCAGGGGGGCTCTATTGGGCACTTGCTTCTGCTACAATTTATTTGATTAGGTGTTTCATCTATCACGCCCTATTGGTGGTGTTGTCAAGATAATTTGTCCAATTCTGTGTAGCCTAGATTTAATTCACCTTCAAGTTATGGATTACATTCTGCTCAGAAATAATATTTGTTCCATTTTTATGCAGGCCGTTCATTCAGGTGCAGATCTTGAATCTGCTATTTCATACTGTACGGGATATAAAGCTGAGGTAACAAGAGTAGCTTCTTCTGTTGTCCAAGGCTCCAAGCAACTATAGTGTCGTGAGATATGATAGATTGATAGAGTACCGATTAATGTGGGATAATGGGTGATTTGGGAAATTAGATAAATATTAGGAATAAATATTACTTTTAATTTATTTGAGATATTATCTGTTTAATAATATTATTGAGATTTTATTTAGATATTTAGTTATTTAGATTTTATTATGATTACTTAGATATAGATATTAGATTATCCAGGTATAGATATTAGGAGATCTTTTTCAGATATTTAGGATTTTATTAATTATCTAGATATTTAGTTATCTAGATTTTACTCGGTTATTTTGAATTGTATTTAGCATTATTAATATGCTTAGCAACTGAGAAGCTAGCATGTGATGAATAAAACAAACTTTTGAACCATTTGAATATTCTCTTAATGTGATTATTGAGAGACTTATAGAGTGAGATTCTTGTTTTATATGATTTTAATAGAATTACTCTTCCTATTTTCTTCTATCAATTCTATGTTTTTTTATTAATATATGAAGTTAGATTCTGATTTCATATTTTAATAAACATTTATCTTCCTTATTTCTCTCTACCTATCTTAGATCATATCATAGATCCTTTAGATGCTTACATTTCTCTTTTTCTATTCCATTATTCCTTAGGGTCAAGGCTTCATGGTTGGTGTGCAGATAAATCCTGTGCCTGGTTTGCCATCTGGTTTTCCAGTAATGTTATTCAACTTTTTTGGGATTTGTTTATAATGTTATTGTGTCGTCTGAGTTGTACAAATGAATATATTGTATCTCTTAAGCAGGAATTACTTCAGCTTGTTATGGACAACATTGAGGTTAAGGAAGTTGAGCTGCTTCTTGAGGTTTATGCTGCTTCAGTGCAATCAATAATAATTCATTTAAGCTGTTTATTCAGTAGCTTTTCTTGTACTGAGATATTCACGTTTTGCAACAGGGTTTGCTTGAGGCTCGCCAAGAACTACGTCCATTGCTCTCTACGCATCAGGATCGTTTGAAAGATCTTTTATTTTTGGATATGGCCCTAGATTCTACTGTTAGAACTGCACTGGAAAAGGGATATGAGGAACTGAATAATGCTGGACCAGAGGTAAATCTTGTCCTGAGCTTCTGATAGAATGTAAATTGTCTTAGTTTACTATGCTATTATATGTCAATTTTTCATATCTTATTAAAAGGATGTACAAAATATTTGAAGACGTTAAATCTGACAAGCTGATTTATGACTTCTGCAGAAAATAATGCACTTCATCTGCATGGTTCTTGAAAATGTTGCACTTTCATCAGATGACAATGAAGATCTTGTCTACTGCTTGAAGGTATAATGATCAAGTAAATCTACGGCCATTTATGTTTCTTGACTATTAGATATGTGTGGAATTTAGACGGAAAAATATTTCTCATTGATCTGAATGTTTAGATACAACTGTATATATACGCATACACACTAAGGGAAAAGACAGTAGAGCAAAGTCTAATAAAGCCTAATAATTCCCGATAAATGCTATAGATATGTCATCTGAATATAGAGAAAAAATTTTGTGCTGCCTAGTTATTATTTATGTTTAAAATGAAAGTGAGCTTAAATGCCAGTGATGACTTTGCTGAGAGTTTATAGGTGGATAGAGACTAAATTCATACTATTTTGTGACTTTGAGGTTGTTTCAGACAATTGCTGTCATGTCCTTTGTAATGCCAGATGAGAAGATGCAGTAGCTGTAGGTTTTTCTTGTTTTTTTTTCCCCGGTTCCAGGGGAGGATGGTGTAGATTTTCATAATAAAGTATGGGGTTGTGTAGTTTTCCCTCTCCTAGGGAAGGGAAGAGTAATTTTCTCAAAACTACTCATGACCCTTCACTTGACAGTTTAAGCTTTGAAGTTGAATAAATTGTTAATGTATTTACGAAAGCAAATGATTCAACCAGAAAGAGTATAGAGATGGTGAAAGGGGAAGATCATTAAATCAAGAGCGACTAAAAGTCCAACGTTTAAAATGAATGGGCCAAATGAGGACCATATGAGTGGATTAACTTATAAACCTAATACTTTAGCTTTTGGGTTGAGATGGAATGAGATTCCTCACGCAATGTTCTCATGCCATCTCCTTACTCGTTGGTGTTGAATTATAGGTAATGATACCTTGTTAAATACCTTATCAACTCGCCACTGGCCCAAGTTATGACGAACATTCACTTTGTCCACACTTTAAACAATTAAACCCAATTAGCTTTCTTGTGAGGAGATGTCTTAGAAATATACTAAATTGTTAGAAGTATTAGAATTGTAAACAAACGGACAGCTGGCACATGAAGCTCCCACTATACGAGGGGTTTGGGGAAGGTTGGATTCATTTTGTAAATAATTACTTTTGTCTATAGAATTGTAAATTATCTAATTATTTTAGTGATTATTTTTTGTTATTTTATTATTCCAGTAGTTGTACTTTGTCCCTAGAGTAGTTCCCCTTGTGTCTATAAAATATAAATACTATGTAATTGCCTCACTCTCCATACAAGAGAGAATTTCAGACTTTTTGTCATAAACTATTTCATTCAGCAGCCCAAGTTTTAGATTTGAAATGACCATTGACAATAGCCAACAATGTGGGCAGTTCCTCTGTAAGGAGACAGTAGAGCCTATGGACTTACCAAACAACAAAGTTATATTGCTTCTCTAAGCATTCCAAACCTGATTATGTTGGCACTTGAAAATCGCATATGATGTTGTTGTATTGATGATAATTTTTTTTTTTTTGGGGGTTTTTGATGATAATTGAAGTAGATATCTGTTATGTTGATGCCAATTTAGTCAAGAATCTAGTTGAAGAATATTTACCATGATTTTGATATTCCTTGCCTTGCTCTTAAGGGATGGAATCTTGCCTTAAGTATGTGCAAGAGGAAGGATACTCATTGGGCATTGTATGCAAAATCAGTACTTGATAGAACACGACTTGCACTTGCGCACAAGGCTGAGTGGTACCAGAAAATTTTGCAACCATCAGCAGAATACCTTGGATCACTGCTTGGGGTGCATAGATGGGCTGTACGTCCTTGTTTGATATTGACTGTTGTTATTTACGTTTCTTCCTTGTCACTCCCACAAATCTGCTCTTGTAGGTGGAAATCTTCACTGAAGAAATTATTCGTTCTGGGTCTGCTGCTTCTTTGTCTTCTCTTCTTAATCGACTGGATCCAATCCTCCGAAAAACGGCAAATCTTGGAAGGTGAATTGATGATATATTTTGAAACTAAACACAAGTCCTTGATGTAAAATGTCTGAATAATGGGCTAGGCTGTATTTTTGGTCTCGTGTTTTTTCAACTATTGTGTAATGATACCTGTAGAGGTTAGTAAAGAGATGGCAATGATAGCCACTAGCAGGTCTGAATAGAAGAAGAAATAGATGAGGAAGGTAGTTAGTTATAGTGGTTGAGAGAGTTCACTAACCTGAATAGGCCTGTGAATAAATAGAGGGGAAGAGAGCATGCAATCATTGTTGAATGGTAATGTGATGTTTCTGGTCGTGAATTATGATAGGCTTATCAGGTTTGTACTTGGAATTAACATGATTTGTTAAAGCCTCTTAATTCCGTTGATAGCTTATTTTATATTGTTCACTTGAGATTAGTAAGTTATTCCTAACTAAATAGCCAACATAAGCAGTGACCCCAGTCCTATGTGGCATGATGAATGAGAAATGATAATCAAGTATTCTTCGATCCTCTCTCTCTCTCTCTCTCTCTCTCTCTCTCTGCTTTCACTCTTTTTTCTTCTGTCAGATAACCGGTTCTCTCTTCTTTCTACATATTATATAGTCTTCTGTTCACCATAATTTTAATATGTTGTAATCCTATGGCTGAAGGTTTCCAAAGCATTCTCTCTCTTTAGTTTCTGTAAGTTGGCATGCTAGACTGTTACAGTATTATGCAGTTGACATGATATATTCTAACTTGACTCTGGCTGACCTGGAACAGCTGGCAAATTATTAGCCCAGGTGAAGCCATTGGATATGTTGAGGTTGTGGATGAGTTGCTTGCTGTTCAAAACAAATTTTATGAGCGGCCTACAATTTTGGTTGCAAAGAGTGTGAAAGGAGAGGAAGAAATACCAGATGGCATAGTTGCTGTCCTGACACCTGATATGCCGGATGTCTTATCTCATGTTTCTGTGAGAGCAAGAAATAGCAAGGCATGACAACCTTTAACTCTGGTCTTTTTTCATGACTTTAAGGCAATTATTAAATGATGATACTGTATATCTTTAATTTGGTCTGTGATCAGTGTATGTTCAAATGGAAAACTGGCATACTTCATCAGCTACATGATAAAAAAAATGCAAAAACCATATATTAGAAACTACATAGATACATTTCAACCTGGTCTAGGGCTTGGTGATCATAGATAATTATTTAAAAATCTACAAAGTGGAGAAACTCCAATTTCCTACTTCTTACAGCAGAAAAATATCTCCTGTTGTCATATAAAAGCAGTTTTGTTTCTTGGAAAGCCACATATATATTAAGAGAGAAAAAAATAGTCCTCTTTTTACAACGTGAGTAGCTTTATTCTCTTTCACAACTTGGCGGAACAGGGTCTCATTTATTTGGTCTACCTTGGTAGTGTTCCTGATGTGAAACAAGAGAGGGGAAAGTGGGGCAAGGGAGAAGGGAGGAGAGAGATATTGACAAAGAAAGAGGAAGCAATAGACAGAAGATGTAGACGGATGACAAGACTTTTATCTATATTGTGACATATTTAAAATACTGACTCCCAATTTTCAAGTTTTCCAGGTCTGTTTTGCCACATGCTTTGATCCCAATATCTTGGCTAGCCTCCAAGCAAGTAAAGGAAAGCTTTTGCATGTAAAACCTTCATCTGCTGATGTGATTTATAGGTAACATTTCAGTTATACTTTGATAATTTAAAGCTGTCTAAATCATTTATACTGATATGAAATGACCTTCTAGAGCTGTTTGTTCTCTCCCACTGAAGGACCCAAATTGCTGAGTTTCATCCCCCTCCTTCCTGTTGACCCTTTTCCTTATTGTTTGTCTAATTCTCTCAGTGAGGTCAAAAAGGAAGAGGTAAATGATTCCAAATCAACTAAGCTGAAAGGAGTTGGCTCTTTGTCACCTCTTAGTTTGACCAAAAAGAAGTTTAGTGGTAGATTTGCCATACAGTCCGATGAATTTACAAATGAATTGGTAAGATTTGTCAAAATTAGCATTAAAGTTGAGAATGCTTAGTTTGTTATGACTAAATCAGAGTTTGGTCAAATGCAAGAATCAAGATATTTGAGAGCTCAAAATCCTTTTATTTTGTGTCTCTTCTCCATAACTTACCAAGAGATTATGTTTTTCCAGGTTGGAGCAAAGTCACGCAATATCTCTTATTTAAAAGGAAAATTGCCTTCTTGGATTGGAATCCCCACTTCAGTTGCCATACCATTTGGAGTATTTGAACACGTTCTTTCTGATAGATCAAATAAGGTTATACATCATGTAACTGTTGTCCTGCATTTTCGTGTGTACATAATGTGCTGTGCAGCTTAGATCCATCATCTTGCATGTCTACTAGTTACATTTATTTTATTTTTTTTTCTTTTCACAAGGAGGACAATGATTTAGTCCTCACAGTCTAGCCTATATCAATATTTAGAATTAGTTTAGGGAAAGATATCAACTTGTGAATAAAAGACAAGAGTTGTCATTGAAATATAAACTGAACCTGAAGGTGTTAAATTTAAAGGTTTGGAGAGAAAAGAATCGTTTCCTTCTTTCATTATAAGTACATTTCTTAAAAGTGGAACTTTCCTTGGCTCTTGTTTGTTATGTGATACAGCCAAGGAGTATTTAGATAAGGCACTAGAAGTGGTGATGACTTCCATTAAGGATTTAGTTGGGTCGTATAGTTCTTGTATCTATTACCGTACAGGATGCGTTCGTTACTTTTATATCTTTATTAGAAGTTTCAATCATGCAAGTCTTTCTTGACTTATGATGGAATTTTTTATTTGAATGTTAACAGATATTGGCTGAGAAGGTTAAAATTCTGAAAAAGAAGTTGGAGGAGGGAAACTTCAGTGCCCTCAGAGAGATTCGGGAGACAGTGTTACAGTTGAATGCTCCATCCCAGCTGGTATTTGCTTTCTAGCTGTTGTCTTAAGATTGACACAAAGTGGCACATTCTTCCTTTAGATTCTTATGCAGCTGCATATGATTTTTTTTTTTTTTCACTTTAGAGTTGATTTAGATCGTCAATATATTCTCTTATTGACACCCCTAAAGTTCTCCGTTCCTTGGATGGGTTGTAATGGAACTGAGAAAGAAGATATCTTTGGTCAGAACTAACAAGATTGCATCCTCTGAATTTCACTGTCTGAAATTTCGGTGAAGTTGATAAGTTTCTGCCTTTTCTTTTCTCTCTTTTTTTTTTATTTGTTATTTAGTTTGTAAGAACCTTTGTGTCTCCTCTTTTTAACTAACTTCATAGAAATTCAAAGACGCCAAATTCAGAGGATCAACATCTCAAAACTAACTGGTTCAAATAATTATATTTCGATTATGCGAGCTTTCAACATTTGTTTTTGTCTCAAGAAAAGCTAGCCCTCGGCTTACCGTCTTAAACAATGCTGTCCATTTTGCTGCTATCTTCAATGGAATATTTAAACGGCTTCATCTAAAATGATGTAAAGACTGGAATCCTATTGATGAAAAGTAGTGGGTTACCTTATTTTCAGGTAGAGGAGCTAAGGAGCAAGATGAAAAGTTCTGGAATGCCTTGGCCTGGTGATGAAGGTGAAAAACGATGGGAGCAGGCATGGAAGGCTATAAAAAAGGTAATATTCCCTATGCAAAGGACAGTGCACAGCGTAGAACTTGAAAGCTGGCGTCTCCTGTGGAATGAGTTTCCTGTTGCATATTTTGGCTCACACTACATTGCCTTACTTTGCCACAGGGGCAACGGAAATTTTTTCGCACCGACAATCTTATGTTCTTTTATATGCTCTTGTCCAGAATTACATTTACTTTTCCGTGGTTAAGTGACTTAAGCCCCCCCCCCCAATGGATGAATTGCTTATTGGCTTGTCCACAAGCATCCACAAGGTCAACAATCTTTAGTCCTATCCCTACATATAAAATAGGTTTAAAAAAATGTAAAAATCTAAGCTGAATGAATTTCTTAGTATTTGTTTCTGTTGCTATCAAGTTGTATAGCAGATTCAGTCTTGACTAATTTTTCCATGTGACTTTTCCAGAACTCTTCTACTTATGGGCCTTCCATATTTCTCTAAGATTTCCATACATTTTTTCTCTCTATGATTATGCTAGGACATGCTATCAATATATGATTATAATTGACAGGTCTAGAATATTTACCTTGCCTCTAATTAAAGTTTGAAATAAATCTGCGGTACACTGTACAATTTTATTTTATTGTTCAGCTTTTCATAAAATTTACCTCCTCTTTGTCACTGTCATTGACTGTATTATATGGATTTGCAAAAGGTTTGGGGTTCGAAGTGGAATGAAAGAGCATACTTAAGCGCAAGAAAAGTGAAACTGGACCATGATTATCTTTCCATGGCTGTTCTTATCCAAGAAGTTATTAATGCTGACTATGCTTTTGTCATCCACACAACTAATCCATCAACAGGAGACTCATCGGAAATATATGCTGAGGTATAACTGTTGATGGATGCAATGGCTTTTGTGCATATACAGAATTTCATTTGCCGTTTAAAAGGGAGAACGAGAAGAAGCCTGGACATTCATTGGGTGCAATACTTTCTTTTGACATAGGTGGTGAAGGGACTTGGGGAAACTCTTGTTGGAGCTTACCCTGGTCGTGCTTTAAGTTTTATATGCAAAAAACATAACCTGAACTCCCCTCAGGTAGCCACTTTATATCAAGTCTCTCCATCTCTCTCTGTTTTTTTTTTTTAAACTTTTTTGGGTGACTTGAATCGATAAATCTTTCACAGTATTATGTATTGTTAATCATCTGCGAGTGAATATGAATTTACTGTTACCAGAAAACTGTATCTGTTCTCTGAGTTCTCCATTTTTATGCTAATGGGTTTGGCCTTTTGAGCTTCTTCAGGTCTTGGGTTATCCTAGCAAACCTGTTGGCCTCTTCATAAAACGCTCAATTATTTTCCGATCTGACTCCAATGGTGAAGATCTAGAAGGTTATGCCGGTGCTGGCCTTTATGACAGGTAAACTTTTTCGTATCTCTTGTAAAATGAGCATCTTTATTCTTCCAAGTTATAGATGCTCAGAGTGTCATGAAAGATCTTTGTCTAAATTCAATTTGTCTGTAATGTATGCATTGCGTCGGAGGGCTTAATTTGTCCAGAGAATGATTGAAATGATTTGATTTTACATTTCCTGATGCACATTGAAATATATTAATTGAAATTTCACGCAACAGTGTGCCAATGGACGAGGAAAAGAAAGTTGTGCTGGATTACTCTTCTGATCCACTCATAGTTGATAGTGGTTTCCGCAAGTCAATCCTGTCCAGCATTGCTCGTGCAGGAAGTGCTATTGAACAATTATATGGCTCTCCTCAAGACATTGAAGGTGTGATCAGGGACGGAAAAGTCTACGTTGTCCAAACCAGACCACAAATGTAAGCCTCTAAACCCACGTCACCTAATTCACCTACCCGAACTATGATCAACCCGGACCAGAGTTGCGAATGTGGGCAATTGAGAGTTTGAACTGGCAGCTCAAAATTTGCTTGTAGATGCAAATTCAACGTGAATGTTATTAATGTGATACAATAATGCTTACTTTCTACCGTAATCATGTGAATAAGAAAGCTCTATTTGCGCTATTATCCAATCATTCTTTTTATTTATTTACTTATTTATGCTGATTGGGAAAAGTTACGTCGATTTTCTTTTTTCTTCTTACCGTCTGTATGATTGTGTGAATGCATTTGTACTCTATACACTGAAAAGTTGTACTGCGCCATATTTGAGGTTTTCGTGGTTTTTTTTTTTTTTTCAAAGCTTTTGCATAATTATCCAACCCCCCCCCCCCAAAAAAAAAAAGCTCTCTCAAAATCTCCTTTTTCTTCTCTGCTTATTCCTGATCAATTTGGCGATCATATAATTGTAATTATAATTGGATTTCCTTGTTTATCTATTTTTCCCTTGTATTTTTCTGTTATTCATCAAGCATCAAATGAAGTAGAATGTGGATAAATTGGAATTCTTCTCCTGTTACTCATCAAGCAGTAGCAAAAGGCGATTTAGTTCAGTTTATGACTTGAAGCTTGTCATGTATTTCCGCTTACCATAGTGATTTTATTTGTCATTTGAAATCTTGCTTAAGATGATTGCGAAATTCTGACAACTAGGTACGCATAATAATGATAATATGATGCTGACAAAGCATAAGGATACATGATGGAAGTTTGGAGGTTCTACTTTAGACCGGAATTTGACCAACATGCCCCGACTTCATAATTTTTAGCACCCCAAATTATTAGTGAGCCATATTAATCCTAGGAACATTATTAAAATCACACACAGCATTACACACGGAAGCCAGAGACTCTTAGAACACGGTGACACACCACTGAGAATCAAGGCGGACAACCTGCGACACTGGATCCTGAAATACCTATCCAAGCTTCGTTTAATCTGCCAGAAAGTTTATGAGAACCGTTGTACTGGGCAATGGCATAGGAACCCTTGTCTTGTATTGCTGCTGAATTCCCAGATGACAAGTGTTTGTTGATGCTGCTTATAAGAGCTGTCACTTCTCTATCAATGTTATCGTCTGTGGCAAACCCATTGAACTTTCTAACTGCCACGCAACGAGAATTCCACTTGTCTAAGTGCAATTTCAGTCCTGGGTTTGGTTGTGGAGGATTTCCTTTATACTTTGGCGAGATATAAAACCTCACTGTATAGTCAACATTCCCACTAGACGACGACGACTCAATGCTTGTCAAGACTGGAGCAGTGAAAGCAAGATGAGAAGAATTCAGATTCGCCCCGTGAATATATTGATACAACCTGGGCCACATTGTTGAAACACAGATTATAATCCACACACAGTTTACTACTTCATTGAAATCATGCGCAAACATAAAAATATGTCAAGAAAATACTCCTCATTTTTTTTTTTTTTGCTAAACTAGTTTTGACATGTATGTGATTAAATTGGTCAATAAGTAAAGAAAATGCTGAGAAACAGAACCTGTGAAAGCCGATTGCGGTGGACAGATTGAAAGAAGATCCTCGTACAGAAGCAGACATCCATGAGGATTCATCGTAACGTCTGATCTCGAAGTCTGATTCAGACCGTACAACTTTGTAGCTTGGGACTTCGATGGCATGCACGAGTTGTGCAGTCTTGCCACTCAAGTGACACAGTGCCATACAGAAATAGCAGAGGAAGTATGTGAATGCTGTTTCCATCTTCTGCTTGCCTTGTCTCTCTCACACTATCAAGCCTTTGAGTTTAAATAGACACAGCTAGGCCAGCTTTGAGCCTCTGGTGCTGTTGTAAATGGGGTTTCCATTTTCCAATTACTAATAACATTGCCATCAGTATGAAAAATGACCCATCTGTGAAACATAAAACGTTTCAAAAAGAAGTGGTCTAATCCCATACAATACACAGAAAAAGTACGAAGCCACAGATATCCTAATGTTTTTGTTGTGTAAAATGTAAATATCATACTCCATCTTTTCCTATTTATATATCACTTTTAACTAATTCAAACAAATTAAGAAAACTGGTTAAAATTTATTTAAATTAGTTAATGTTTTTAAAATTATATCATCTTTCTAAAAATACCCTTAATTAAATTTAATGGATCATGACACAATGTTACTCATCTCTCTCAACCCATTTTTATCATAGTTACTCAACATTAATATCTATACCAAGAGCACTATTAGGGGGGGAAAAATCAGTTGTTTTATGGATTTTACAAACTGGCTTATAAATAAGAACATGAAAACCTTTGTTCACTTAAGCATGTTGATCCCATTGAAAGGGAGTACAATCGTTTAAGCACAATCTCGTATTTAAATTCAAAAAAGCTATCTCTAATTGAATCCAGTAATACTCAAATATAATCTAGTTGGGTAGTCATGTAAAAACATTAAAAAAAATGTGACCAATAAATAAAAACATATGGAGTATTAAATTGCAAAATAGCATGCTTATGATGCTAATAAAAAATGTTGAGATTGATAAGTGGCAAAATGGAATAACGACATTTGAATTCCTTTAGAATGACAATGAGTAGGGTTATTGTATAATTTGAAGTGATTTGATTCCCATCTCACTGTGATTTGGCTGTCTCCCACTTGTTACTTAAGGTGCCACTCCCACAAACGTTTTCCGGCTTCAGAAATAGACTCAGGATTATATATACCTCAATAAGTAATCATCGTACAATCAAAAAAAAAAAACAAAGAAGGGGACGAATCATTTAAAGTGGCCAATATCTCCATGGTGAAAGTTTCTTCCATTATCTTCCCAGGAAAGAGACAAAACAATTTGGACGGCTCAACTATCCAATATACCCTACAACATGGCAACACAACTAATTTATTTATTCGACGTTTCTTAAGTGCTCTCAAATCTCAGAGCAGAGGACACGATATTGCGAAGCGTTGAAGATTTGGCTGAGCTAGCTTATGTTAATATGAGAGCTACCTACTTGGCTACTTCATATTCCCTGTCTTAAAATCGTGAGATTTCAGTTTGTGATTTATTAAAAAAAATTATCTGTAAGTCCTTATAATTTTGTTCAATTTTGAATTAAATCATTATATTTTATTTTATTTTAATTGAGTCCTTATAGTTTGATTAATTAAATTTTTTAATCCCTGAAGGTTAAAATATTTTTTTCTTTACAAAAATAAAATTAAAAAATTTATATTTTTGTTAAATGATTATATAACTTTATACACCCTCCGTTCAAAAATGTAAAATATTTTTAACCGAATCTCACTACCCAATAAAGTAGTTATCTATTTTTAAAATAACCCTATCTTTTCATATTTACCCCTATTAAACACCTTACAATAAATATAAAATTATTATTAATAAAGGTACTTTAAAAAAAAAGATAATGATTATATTTCAAAAGATTAAAAAGGCCTTATATTTTTAAATATTTAACTTCTTAAAAAATACCTTACATTTTTAAACAGATGGAGTAATTAATTAAATAATGTTTATAACTCAAAATTTTATATAATTAAGTTATCTTTAAAATATTTTTAAGCATATAAAATTTTTATAAAAAATTAAAAAATGTAAACAATGTATTAAATCAAATTTATTTCTTTTTTCATTTTTGACTAAAAATATTAAATTAGTTTTTCTGAAAATTTCAAGAGTATTTTTGTTTGTTTTAAATTTAATAATTTATTATTAACTTTAACCTTCAAGCAGTAACATATATAATAAATCAAATTATAAGAACTTGATTAAAATAAAATAAACTATAAGGACCGAATTCAAAATTGAACAAAACTATAAGAACTTATAAGTTAATTTTTTCTTATCTATTTCATTTTTTTTATATAATCAATTGACTAGGTTAGATTTGAGCATTTTTATCAACTCAATTAAAACTCTCCTAAAAATATTTTTTTTCATTTGTATGGACTTATTCGTTATTCAATATTCTTTATTTGAGCAATTAAATGCTTGACTGCCAATGACCCAAATTAATACTAAATAATGAGTAAGTCCATGCAAATGAGGTAAAATTAGGGGTCGACTCCACTGGTCAGTCTCGTTGGTGTGGTTATCTTTTTGATCTCATTTTATCTTCGAAACTTAAATCCTTAAAGTTGAGATCTGTAAATTTTTGTAAAGTATCCTTTTTTAAAAAAGAAAGAGAAGGTTTTATATTTCACAAAAAATTAACAAAATGAGAAAAATATTGAAAAAGGAAAACTTCACAAAAATTTGCACTTCTCAATTTTAGAGGATTTAAATCTTTATATCTTCTATTTTTCTCCTAAGTGAACCAACCAAAAGTAGAGTTTATATAATTATATCACATTATTATACTTTTTATTTTATTTTTTTTAATTTCTCTTTGATTGTATCGCGTTCACCTCCATGAACAAAAAGAAAACGGACTGCATGAAACAAAGCCATTGCACTTAATACGCATTTTTTTGCAAAAAAAACGATAATTGGGTCCTCATCGAAACATGCTCCGCAAAAGAAGGCCCATTTGCATAAGGTTTTAGGGACCCATTTTCACAGCCCGCTGTTTTATATTCGAGTCGGGAGTCCAATTTACATGTTTTTGTGAGAACTAGAAAGTCCAAAAACTTTCCGTTAGATTACACAAAATATCCCTGAAGTTTGAATTATGTAAAAATAATCCCTTAATCTTAAAAACTTTATACAGAAAGCCCCCTAAATTTTTAAGTTTATGTGGATAATCCTCAACCATCAATGATATACCTCTTAAACTTTATTTATTTATTTTTTTATACATATAATCCCCTCAAACTTTAAGTTATATGTAAATAAAAGGATTGATTTAGACGGCTTAGTTAAAAGAGAAAAGCTCTCTTGACCCTTAATTTGTACACTTAAAAGACTTAAATTTGAGATGGTATTAAAAGAAATCGATGTTATAATTACTTCGTGAAAGTCTAGCTTAATTATTCTAGCACAAGAGGCTTGCATCACATCTGGTCAACTTAGCTTGGATTTGATTCGATTCTTTAACAGCAAATAAAATCTCAGACCAAGTAACTAGAAATCATGAGGAAAACCTTAGAATGAGGGAGATAGAGGCAGTTTATTAGTTTCGAGCTAATAACCTGGAAAATAACTGACCGTATATAAAACCCAGAAAAAAAATTGTGTATGCATAGGATATTGTAAGAAAAAGTTAAGTTTTGTATGTATTCCAATCTAAATGTTGATGCCCAGAATATCACAGTACAGCGTTTTTTTTTTTTTTTGTTTTTTTCTTTTTCCAAGTAGCATTGTTCTAAACACGTTCATGCACATGTGTAATGATGGAATAAGAACATGATTAATCATCATTAACTTCTGTCTCCATAACTATCAATCTTAAACCTAACCCTTCAAATTATGTACAGTGCTGAAGCAACATCATGATGACGAAGACGATGATGTATCATGGAGTTATGGCCCATATGAGATGATGAATGATGATGATGTTAGCATGAAGCATATATATATAATAACCACATTGGCCAAAAAGATATATTATAACCACAGAACACACACACACACACACACAGAGGAGTAAATTTTTCAGACAGATAAAACTGACATTAATTAATCTGTTTTCTGACACAGCGCCACGATGTGAAATTATGGCTCATGCAAAACATTCTCTTTTGAACCCATGAGGCTGTTGCCAACATCTTCTTCCTCCAATGGCTTTCACTTTTTCAAACCCTTTTAGGGTTTTCTGTTTTGTTAATTTCATTTTGACGTTGGAAAGTAGAGTGGTCGTCGTGTCCTTCAACTCTTTAGACAGAATCATTGCTATCCATTCTTGCTGTTGCTGGCCCCCCTTTTTTTTAATATATATATATATATATATATATAATAAAATTCCAGAGGAGCCGGCCGGTTTCATCCTTATTTTTTAGTTGATATTTAAATTTTCATTTCATTTTATAGTCAATTAAAATTCAAAATAAATTTTATCTAAATTCTGCAAATCTGATATCAAGCATATTTTGCCCTTTAAAAGAACCTTTTGGCCTTTATATGTTATATATACACACACATTTAAAGAATTTAGAATACATATAGAGGTAGAGTATCCGTTTATTGAATATGCCCTATTCTTTTTTTTTTTAAATGGAATTATTTGATTGAGTTATGTTTGAGTATTCTCAAATCCAGTGAGGGAAGGTCTCTCAAAAGAGTTTTCTATATATAGTCACATAGTCTCGAGCTTGAAATTTTATATACTTAAGCGGCTATAGCCTATTTTATTAACCAGGAGCAAAATTTATTGGTGGAATAAACCATGTTTAAAGTGAGTTTTTGTTTATCTCGGAGTTTGGACGCATTCAATCCGGTAATTCTTCACTGGTAACGCGTGATATATATGTATAATGGCTATATCCTTTAACATGCATTGGTCTTGATGTTCACAGATTTAAATAATTAAATGGGTATTAATTATTTTTCATGGACTATTATTGACTTTTCAAATATTTAAAATAGATTAATAAAAAAAAGTAGAGAAAGGGTAGTGTTGTTGTATGTTGATGTGATTTTAGACCTGAGCTACTGGCACTATTAATTATTCCTTTGTCTCATGATTCTGTTCTCTTCTTTTGACGATGCCACTTTATTCATACCCCACTTTTTTAAAACACAGATGCAATTCTAAAGTTGGATTCCTTGATGCCATATTCGCTATCATGCAATTTATTTGTGCGTGTTGCGTGCATATATATAATAAAGAGAGGCCACGGAAATAGAA